AACAAGCAGCTCCTTTGCAAGACCATATATGGCTGCTAGAAGGAGACAGTGAGTCGTGTCTGGCATGTAGAGCACCAGTAGGCAGACTGGGGTGCCTAGGGGAATGTCGGGCAGATTGAGACTGAAGTGACCCAGTATGTGGCGGCAGGAGAAGACAGCCAAAAGGAAAAGAGATTGGGGCAAATTTTACAAGTGCACTCTGTGCTTGTAAAAGCCAGGCCACAAGTGCCCAAATTTTGATTGCATGATTGTAGGCCACTGCAACAATTGTAACTTTGGGGATGGTTATAACTATCATTTGTTTGGTGGTATCATAACTTGGAGTGATTGTTAAGCAAAAACTAACTGTATAAAACACATAGCATCTCTACTAGGTCAAAATAGAAAGTTTTAGAATCAGGTTCAATGTAAGAATTCAGCTATTTATATAAATGGTCGTCTAGATAAGCAAGCAGGGAAGAAGATATAGAACATGGTAGAAACAAAACAAAAGCAGACCTTCGTAACAGTTTAGACTGAAGGGAGAGGAGAAGCAGACCCAATGCGGTGCAATGAATTAGACAAGCAAAGGGGAGACCCTGGTTTAAATCTGTCCTTAGTCATGGAAATTCAGTGGATCAGTTTGGGCCATACACTTGCTTTCAGCTCAACCCATCTGACAAAGTTATGAAAAAAAAAAAATCTCTGCTTTGCTTAGATAAAAAGTGAATACCAAATAAAAATACTAAATTTTTCTAGCATATGATTTCTTAAAGCAGCTACATCTTTTCCAGAGATCATGTAACTACTCTTTGAAGCTGTAACACCAGGTCCAGTAGCGCATTTGGTTCAGGAAGTTATAGAAAGGCATTACATTTAAGTCTACATACACTGTATAGGATCTTTGTGCCCTCAAATCCAAAGTACCTCTCTAAAACTTCTCCCCAAAGGTAGTAAATAATGGTTCCTTAGTGTTCCAAGCAGACCAGCCTTCTGCAAAATATTGTGGGGCTTGCAAACCTCTTTCATTAAGTAGCCGAAAAAAATCTTTGCAGTAAGATTCCAATATCCCAGTTTTTCTTCAACAGAGATGCCATAAGGGCAATGATCACAGATATGTGAAAACAATTAAATACAAGGGATGAAACATACACCAAAGCATCTTATTTCCTTAACTCTGCTTCTAAAGCAATTTTATGTAATTCATAGTTGAATTACATTGATGAATGTGTTAGAAACAAACTATATGGCAGTCCAACAAACTTGGCTGCTTGTCAAGTCAAAAGAAGCACAGTCAAGGGCTGTTTGTCAAGTAGTATATGCAATATATATTGAGTTTTGTGCACTGTGAAGCTTTGTTTGTTGAATCATCATGGCAATAAAATCTTTCCACCAAAGATTCAATGAATATAGATGCATTAAAAATGCAGGAAGATATTAAAAAAAATTCTTGCTGGTGCTATTGCATATATCCAGTTTATATCCATTGGTAAGATTTGACAGAATGGAAGTAAAATTTAGGAATGAAAACATGACAATAATTTCCATATGAGATAAATAAATAGTCATCTCTAACTTAGTTGAAGAATCTAAGAGCTTAAGGAGTTCTTCTGATCCATCATTTTGGCTCACAGACAAAAAAAACCTCCTACAATAAATTAATACAGAAATTGTATCAAAGGAGGTAACTGGTTTGGTTTGGTTTGGTTTCTGAAACCATTACTTGGATAATTATTTCCAAAGACTCTGATAAATGTGCCTGGCAGAGTATCATGAACTTGAGATGTCTTTTAAATTGAATCCTGCTGTTGGGAAGTTTGAGATGAAAAGACAGAAGAAATTCAGATAACTTGTACACTACAGGAGTGTGTCAACATCAAGACTGGACCCTATTAAATTACTCAATTAAAAAAAGAAGAAAATCACTAAATAAATCCTTTTGTTATTCATATAACAACAATTTCAAAAGAAAATTTTTTTTTAAAAAAAAAAGCTTTAGAGGGGCAAATATATTTTAATATGTATAACCTGAGATCAAATGACATAACTCTCATGACTGAAATATTGAAAACTTGAGGATACAGCTTGTTCAAAAGAACACAGCAATAGAAAGAATTGAAATCCTGCTCAGAAATCTAAGGGAGTAAAGATAGTAATGGTCTTGAGAACTTTAAATGCTATGCTAGGAGAAGATAATGCAGAGAATATTGAGAGTTCATAAAAAAAGAAGAAACTAAAATAAAATTGCAAATATTTTCAATAACAAAAAGATAGCAGAAGCAGTTTGTAAGAGTAGAGAAAGGCTAAGAGACTAGACAAATAAAGATTGGGGGGATGGGGAAGAAACAAACCAAAACAAAGACATATGTAAAAGATGGGAAACAATTCAGGTCTCAAAGAAAATTACATAAAATTGGAATTATAGAGAAAATATTCAAAAACATTAAACATTAAAATGAATTCAGCGTAGAAAAGCTGCAGTGATTACAAAAGATCAGCACAGATTTGTGAAGAACTGGTATTTTCAAACTAATTATTATCTTCTTACGGATTAACTTTCAGTTCTGGGTATATTCTAAAAAAGATACAGAGAAACTGTAACAGATTTAGAGAAGGGAAACAAGTATGATCATGGGATTAGAAATCTTAAAAGTTGAGACTGAAGAAACTGGGCATGTTCCAACAGGAGAAAAACTGATGGTGGTGGTGGTGGTGGTGGTGGTGGTGGTGGTGATACAGAGAGATAGACAGATGAGCATTTTTTCATCTACCTTAAGAAATCTTGCACAAAAGATTAGGTCATATCCTAGATACAGAATATATAAAATGATCTAATGATCTGTAAAGTTACAGGAAGGCTGATTTGACAATGGAAACAATTACTAAGGAATGTGATGAGTTCTACTTCACTGGATATATTCAGTCTTAGGAGATACCTTTATTAAGTAGGTCAGTCTTACAAACAAAAGGCTTCTACTTCATTTTTATAGGGAATGTTTGGAATTACTGTTTCTAAAAGGGGAACTGTCATAATGTCAGCCTACCAGGTAGACCCATCAGGAAATTAGTTCTACTTTACTGTAAAGCTATATTAACAGACTATTGTAAGCCTGAAAGTTCTTGCCGTCAAGAATTTCCCTCTGAGGGTTCCTCTAAACCTCTTGCTCTGCCTACTATGCAGCTGCAGGCAATCCTGTCTCTTATATGACTGTTCCCTAGGCACCATCTCTTTCCCCACCTCCCAAAGTCTTTCCCATATACCATTACTCATTACTCCAACCTTTCCGGGCTCGCGGACCAGAGGGAAGGAAAGCAGCTTCAAAACTGGTGTGCGCACACACAGGGCATGCACATTGGCGTGACCCCATTCGCGCATGCGGCATGCGCTAGCACCATGTGCATGCACGAATGGCCACGCACCCCCTGCGCATGCACAAATAGGCTGTGCAACCCACCCAGGCTATCAGCCTTGTTCGCAGATGCGCAAATGGGCCACAGACACCCGCCCCACACTAGCGTCCCCTTTCACGCCCTTTTAATCTTATAACAATCCTATGAGGTAGGTTGAACTAGAGACTGAAGTTCACTTGAATTCAATCAGTGATCTCCAAGCTTAGTTACAGGGCTTGAATCAAATGAAAGTCCTATAAATTATTACACTAAAATGGCTCTCAGCTTAGTTCAAATTTGCTTTTTCACTATAGAAGCAAGAAAACAAGGACTGCAATAAGACAACAAAAGTTAAAAAAGAAAACAGAAATGAAAGGTTGAAAATGAATAGGAAGATAAATTTGCTTGGTAAATAAATAAGTAAATGAATTGCTAAATCAAAAGTTTGATGCTTAAGTGAAACTCTTTTTCTTGGAAAGACTTAAATACTACAAAAATACATGACTTAGCACAGTGGTTTTCAACCTTTTTAATGCCGCGACCCCCAACCGGTCGTAAGTCAAGGACTACTCAGCACCGTTTGCAGAATGGGACTTTTGGCGGGTTCAGCAGGGCAGAGACAGCCTGGACAATTCCTATTGGCTTTTGAAAGCCAATAGAATTAGATTATATTCAAGAGAGTCTATTCTATTGGCTTTCAAAAGCCAATAGAATAAAAGGGAGTAGCACAGCTAAGGAAAAGGGGGGAAAAATGGCGGACTGCGTTGTTTGGCAACCCCCGTGAAATGGTCGTTCGACCCCAAATGTGGTCCCGACCCACAGGTTGAGAACCACTGACTTAGCACAATGTACAAAATCATACAAAACATCACTCTGAAATTGCTCTCTCAGAAATCTCTATCTTGGGCTCAATCATGGAATCCAAAATTACATTTATTTGCAAAAGTATTTTTCTGAAAACTAGGATTCAAATTAAATTACTATCAGATTCTAAATCCACATCACAGTCCAACTGAATTCATCACTTCTTGATACATTACAAGGTTAACATGAGCTTGAATCATCTAATAAAGGGGTGTCAAACTGCTGGCCCATGGGCCGGATGCGTCATGACAAAACCGCACCCACCCCATTGCTGGCAATGGAAAAAGAGTCACAATATGTGGCAACACGTCATGAGACATTGCAAGTTTGACACCCCTGATTTAGTATATATTTCTTCAAACACACCAGTTAAATATCACTGTTAGAGAAAATTGTTTGGGAATTATGGTTTAAGATTAAACAAGCAGTATTTTCATGTAGGTTGCCTGATCATGTCTGTTTTCCAGTGAGAACAGGTAAAATTTATTCTATTATCTTTTTAACATTATACCCAATATGTTTTATTATGAAGTGTGATTCAGCTGACTATAACGGTTCAACAGATTGTAGTTTAAAATTCCAAGTGAGTGTTATATGTGAATAACTCCAAAGACCTAATATGCTGTTACATTATTATATATTATTTCCTTTCAAATGTTAATATTGGCAGAGCTAATTTTGAATGTGCCAGCAAATGAAATTATTATTTAGACACACAATGTCTTTACGAGTTTTTTACTGGAATGTTTAGATGAAGAAAGGCTTACCTAATCGTAGCTCTCCAAAATTGCCACAACCAATTTTCTTTCCAACTCTGAAGTTAGGTCCAACCATTAACACACCAGAATTTGATGAGCTGCTACCTCGTGGATTGTGACTTGAGCGTCCACTAGGCCTTGCCATTCTATCATCCAGTTTGTCTTTGTCTTTTTTTTTATCCATATCAAGTTTATGGTACTCCACTTTGAATTTCTTCCCCCAATCAAGACAAGCCACGTCAAATGGGGTAAAGTAGAAATGAAAACATCCTTAGTTAAGTGCTCCACTTAGTTAATGTGAGTTATGAAGCTGCTGCAGGCAGTCACTCTTTGCGTATTCATCCCATTCGCAAAGTGTTTTTCATTGGTAGCTATTAGAGCAAAATCTCAGTAGATCTTCTATCAGCACCATTTACTGCTTAAAGTGCTTCTGCAACAAAAGTAACCGTTTATTAAACAATTGTGTTGCACACAGCACAAAATTAAAATTTGTTAAACCAATAAACATTTAATAAAAGCTGTACTCAGGATACCACATTACAATACCTGCAATGAAAAACAGTAAAAAAGATACCTCAAATAATTATTCAGAATAATGCACACCAAACTACAATCAAGAAGTTGAAGAAATCCACATGAGTACAAAACAACTGTACACTGTAACATTTGCTGAATCCTAAACTTAATTTCAACCCAGTGTAATCCATATACAATAATGAAGCTGCTCTACCACCAACACAAGACTTATCTTGACTAAATGGAATGCTTGCAAAAAGATAAAAAAGTTGCAGATAATACTGGATTTACCAATGGAATTTCTGTCACTAGGCAAAGCATTCATTAAGTGCGATGTCATGTGGCCACATTGCTTAGTGACAACAATCCAGAAACTCCCTGTTGCCATTGTTAAATGAACCCCATCAGTCATTAACTAAGGATTCCCCCCCCCCCCAATTTTACCCGTGTGTTCTTTTTACTGAAATATGATGCGAAAGTGCTATAAAATAAATAAATCCCACTCCCAATCCAATCTATTCCAACTTGATTACTCATAGATCCAAATCTCAATTAAGGGACCACCTCCTCTGGAAGTCCCCCTGCTTGCCTATCTCCCCCCCCCCCGCCATCTCTGCCTGGGCTGCCCGTCTACTCAATGCTGCCATCTGCTCTTGTCACCTAATCCTATGATCATCCCCACATCTACTGCACTGCATGCCCTTACAGCACCAGCCAGGGCTTTTTTTGCAGTCTTTTGTGTTGGTACTGCAGAGTCTCACTGATGCTGTGGCCAGGGCTAAAAAGGTATCGTAAATTGCTGGACCCTGATAGGCCAAAATTTTGTTCATAGGACTATGGACACACTGCAAAGAATTTTGAACACTGGTGGTCAATCCCTTCCTTCAGGGTCACTGTAATTTTGAATGTTCACTTAAGCAAGGACTTCATGTACTTTTAAATATCTGACCAGCCTTCTGATTATCATCGGTAATCCTGTTCTTCCATCTCACTTTATTTCAGAAAGCAAAATAGGATTTACTGTGTCTCAATTTTCAAGGCTCCAATTCTTTACTGAAGTAAAGATGATATTGCTCAACCACCCAACAATTGTCTCCTCTATAAATTGAATTCTTTGAAAGTTCTTTAAAACTTACAGAAACTGCCCAATATTTTAAGGTGAGGAATTAAAAATTAGGGCTTACCCCAAAATTTTTTACAGCTCCTTTTTCTTTGTTTTATTTTGGAGCATATCTTCAGGTATTTCCATTCTAAATAAGTAGTTCTCAGGTTACAACCACTCATTCAGAGACCATTCAAAGTTATGATATCATTGAGTGAGGGGGAATTATGATCAGCCCTTGAGGTTTGGCCATCATAGCCCCACAATCTCATGCTTGCGATCTGGGTGCCTGGCAATCAGCTCTCACAACAGTCAAGTAATCACTATGTGCAACCTTCCCTGCCAGCTTCTCACAAAGTCAATGGGCAAGCTAGTAAGAGGTTGCAGGTTGCCCCATCTCTGTCAAGCATCAGGGAAATCAGGAGATTCAGGCAATTCAAATGAGTATAAAGATTTATTGCAAGATTAAGCTCTCTCTACAAGAATCTGACCAATTAATGGTCAGCAGAAGATAAGAAAGGCATTCAAAGTGGGCTGGACTTAGATCTCTTGGAGGTGGGCAGGGACTCATGACTTATGACATGGTTAACTCCTCCCTTGGACTCGGCCTGATTATCTCCTAGTCTCTTTTTCACTCACCTGCACTCCATAATGCCTGTCCACTTATGCTCTATAGCACCCACCTACAGTATTCACTTGTAGCTTTCACCTGCCACACTGCTTGCCTGGGACTCCTGTCTCTTCCCACATTACAGTCACATGAACTCTTTGTTTAACATCCTGCATAATCCTAGGGTTATGACAGCAACCTGGATTGCCATCATTAAACAATGCAATTATGTGATGTCGTACTTTACAATTCCATCAATTAGCAACAGTAATTCAGGTTCCAATTGTTGTCATAATCTGAGGACTACCTGTATCTGTTAACCAATTCCCAATTCTCACTAGAGCTAAACTCATAGACTTAACAACGAAGCAGCACAATCTGATGACAGGCTCATAAATATCAAAAGCAATGAGTCATCAAAAATATGAGTGCGGTCAAAGTATTTCAGCAGAGGAAAAAGGAATTTCAGGAATCAAAAATGCTAAGCAAATCTAACTTCTTCTCAGTGCTTTATGTTACTTTTAGCAATTTGTTAATTGATACTCTCACTGCTGTTGACTAGCTGGAAGGCTATCTCCTGAAGGTGTTCACTTTAATAATCTTTCCTAAACTCCCTGCAACTACACTTAATATCTAAGAGCCATTTCTTCGCCCTACTGTAAATAAGATAATTTATAAATCACACTTACCCAAGAAAATGTTCCACCTTTTTCATATTTTCTCATCACAAGTTATACAACTGTTTTATTTGTGCACGGCATCTGAAAATAAAAATTCACTTAACATTAGCAATAAACACAATTCAGTATTTTAATACACAAAATACTGTAATATACTTACTTCTTGGTACAATTAATATTTTTACAATTTATTCTATCAAATATATATGTATTCATATAGGCTGATGGTGAAAAGTACACCAGGTAATATACTTTGGCTGAAAATGTTATTGTGAACATACTTAAGGTTTTCTAATCTTTATGAATTTCTACTCTTGTATTCCTCCACAATAATACATTTAAACCATCCTGGTTTTAGCCACTTTCCTAGTCACCTTCGTTATCACTAAAACCAGCATTCAAACCAGAGGACTGATAGGTAGCTAAAGTGAGAGAGGTTCAAAAAGCAGTAAATGGGATGGACAGCCAGGAAACTACAGGTCAGTTAGCTTAACAACATTTGAACACTCTTAAAAGATAAATATTATCGGTCACATATCTTGCTGATGAAGAATCAGTATAATTCTTGTAAAGACAAGATCTATACCTTTTTAGGCTTTCAGTGTTCACCAGAACTGTGTGATCCAGCATATTTCATTCTTTCAAAAGGAACGTGACTTAAAACTTATCAATTCAACTGGCTTTCTTATACATTGAGCATAAGAATCACTTCATGGAAAAGCAGGATTCTGGGAAGACACAATAGTTTTAAATGTTTTCTATTTTTTTCTGGTAATCTAAGCTTTAAAAGCACTGTTTAGACTCTAGAGACATATATTATGAACTGCTGTCTCAATTCGGTCTATACTCTTTACTCTACTGAAGTTCCAGAATAGACACACCTTCGGACTATATAGAAAACAGATATATGGGAACACCAGCAATGGAATGGGGCTTATCTGATATGGCAGACTGATGAATTGGTGCTCTAATTGTTTTGCTTGCTTTATGTAGGCTCCAAGAAGAAAATATTGACACTCTTTAAAAAATTCACCAACAAGCAGCCTTGCAGAATTTTCTTGTATGGGTAATCCTTGACTTACGTCCATTTATTCAGCAACCATTCAAAGTTAACGCAATCCTGACATATGACTGCTATATGTGACTTTCACTGTGGCTTCTCACTAGCAAAGTCAGAGGGAAAGCCACAGGAAATATCACAAGTCATTACTATCCAAGCACACATCCCCACCAATGTGTAGCCTCCGCTGGGCTGCCTGGCCTTCTGCCAACTCACATGCTGCCTGCATTGTCCTTCCAGGACTTCCCCCATCCCCCAAACCACCTTTCCTAGGACTCCTGATGCTTCCCATTTAACGACCTGCACTGCATATCTTGGGGTTACGACAGCAACCACAATAGCCAGTATTAGTGTTATTAAGTGATGCGGTCACAACATCACACTTTTATCACTGCATCATTTAGAGACAGCAATTTTGGTCCCAATTGCCATTGTAGGCTGAGGGCTACCTGTATTTGTTATATAATTAACAATATTAGTTTCTTGATTTGAAATATAATAAAAGTGAATTCAAATAATGTTTGTTTTAGCATAAATAATTATGCTACCAATTGCATAGATATTTCATGCAACTAACATTTTAAACATATTATTATAATTCCATTTCACTTTGTGATGTCATAGGGCTGCTTACAATAAAATCTGAATTGACTTGGTAACTTTGAGCAAAAACAGAAAATTTCAACAATAAAGTTTTTTGTTTTTTTTTTTAAAAAAAGAGTTATACAAAGAAGTATATTGGGACCAGTGCCTTTTAATATAAATGAAGTGTGGGTAGGAATGGGTTATTGCAGATTACGCTGTTTACAGTGGTGAAACCAAAATAACTGCAAAGAGCTCAAATAGCTCTTTCAGCTCATCATAGGCAACCAAAGGGAAAACACAAATACAATTCAATGTAAGTACAAAGAGATATACAAGTATATTACATATACTGAGGAAGTCCAAAGATAAATGTCTAGTGTTATTTTACATGGTATATAATTTCTGGAAACTAAAATCAGGAGTATCTTTTCCCCTTTTATGTAATTGGATACAGATTTGAGATTCTATATAAGTTACTATCAAAATGACTGCAAGTTGGAGTACCATTCACTTAGAGCTAATATAATATCTGGCCAACCAGTCATGGATTATCTATTTCATAGGAAACAAAAACAGAAATATACTCCTTCCTCAAATTAATCCCCATACTGAACACTTCTCAGTGTTTTCTATAACCCTTCATTGTTTGGGAATATGGAGTGGGGAGAGGGAATTATGGCAACTTTTGTGAAACTTTGACTCTGTGGTTTGTGGTACTTTGCCCAGTTTAGGATGAAGAAATTATATTAAATACAATTATACAAAGCCTAAAGACCTTCAACATTTTTTCAGCTGGAGGTGGGGTAGAACATTAAATCTGACTGTTTAAACTTTGTCACTGTTGTCTTTGTTATATTAGTTGCTATGCTTTCAAATGCACATTTTAACAATCTGAACATTCTAGAATAATGTATAACATTTGCAGTACAATCCTACGCTTGTCTGCTCAAAAGTTAACTCCAAAGTTATGACTATAAATGGATTGGATTGCATATTTTAAATTACATCATCAAGCCATGATTTAAAACCTTTTTATAACCCAAAGAATGCACTACTAAGAGAAATGAAAACGTCACAGGGATTATTTGGGTGGACGAAGGGAAAAGATGCTGCCTGGGAAACAATTAGAAGGAGGGAAAGAGGGAGGGAGAGAGGAAGGGAGGGAGGGAGGGAGAGAGAGAGAGGCGTCCTCAATGGATTAATGGTTAGAGGAAATGTCAGGACCCCTTTAATTGAGCAGGTGGTTAAAAATGCAAAGTTTGTACCTTCAAAGTTGTAAGTTTCTGCTAATGTAGCCTCACAATAAAGTAGAATTAGCTCATCTAGTCAGGTTTTCTCGCTGGTTTAAGATTGACACTGTTAGGTCTATCTGGTTTATGGCAGACATGTTTCCTCTCTGGGAGGGCTGACATTGTATGACTGTTGCAAGGCCAGGAAAAGAAAAACATGGGGTGTGATGAGTGAAAGGTGAAAGAAGGGTGTGATGTATGGGAGCAAAGAAAGATGAGGGAGGTTGAAGTCTTACCAAAGCAACTTGCAAGCTTCATTGCTGGCTTCCCTACGCGCTTACTTTGCTTGTGGGAAGCTAGCAGGCAGATCACAAATAGTGCTCACGTGATTATGGGATACTGCAGTGCAAACTGCTTACCAAGTATCCAAATTTTGTTCATGGAGTGCTGTAACGGCCAGAACTTTGGAGTATTCATCCTAAGTCCTTTTATCCACTGCTGTCATAACTTCAGACAGTCACTGAACTAATGATCATACATCAAGGGCTACCTGTACGTAGCTTTGATTCATTTTCCTCAATAAATAAATGGACAAGTAGGTTTTGTATTCACTTAAATGGGTTGTTTTAGGACATGTGGAAAACATAATTTTTAGGTCATATTTATGCAGAAATATTGAAAATTCAAAAAGCTTCACAAATTTTTAAACACCACTGTACATCAATGCTACTTTGCAGTGTAGCCATTTTATATTAAGCTCATAGGTTAATAATACACAAGTAAAAGTGCCATTATTACCTACATTATATGGAACAAATGCCAGTGAAATAGGACAGAGGAAGCTCTTATAATTTTAACCAATTTCGGCTTTATTATAAAACTCCAGAAAAACTCTCTCTGAAAAACTATAGAATTAACACTTAAACCTCAACAGGTTATCTATATAGATAATACTTCATATTCTTTAGTATATATAGTCCATATAATTGCTCATATTTCTTCTAAGAAACATTTTCAAATTTAGTTTCCCCCCCCCCCAGATTGTTATGATCCTAACCAGTCTTTTAACTTGGGATAGGCTATTAGAATTACGGTAGCAGTCAAAATGTAAAGACATCATCATTCTCTCTTTTTTCCTCAACTGACTTTTTTACAATACAAAAGGTTTTAAAAACAGTAAAAACTACTGGCCTCTATGTAAAATTGTATGAATCAGGCAAGACAATTCCCCAGTAAAAGCTTCACTGGAAGAGTTCATTTTGGTCAGGGAAGTAAAATTACTTCAGTTTAAGAAGACACTTTAGTTACTCAACAGCACTTTTTGCTGTTTACATCAAAAGAACTTATATAAAGAAAAAGGAGTAAATCTTTTAAAAAGTTGTTCTCTAATTGCTTTAAATATAAAAACTGTGGAATAAATCCCACAGCCCCCTCCAGGAACAAATGTATTCAGAAACTGCATAACTTTTTTTTTTTTTTAGTTGGGAAGTAATGATATACTGAGATCTCCCAATAGAATGGTAGTTGAACATTATTTTTTCCTTACAAAATGTATTAGTGTGGTGCATAATCTTAAGAACAGTTATAACACTTTCTCAACAGGTGGGAAAACTGGTAACCAAAATATAACATTATCTGAGGTTGATCCGAGAAACAGAATGGGGCAGGTTTTGAAGTTCAATGGTTTTCTTTGAAGTATACAGTAGCTTTCATGTGTTTTCACTTCAAAATTAAAAGAAACTTTATAAGGATTTATTATGGTCACTCATAGCTTTAGGGGCTATAGGCTGTCATCCTGTTTTATTTAAACTACTGCTATTGCATCAACAAAAATTAGAATGATGTGAGATGACGCCCAATCCTGCAACCACACAACACTGAAGATATGAACAGCTTTTTGAAACATAATTTTTTTCAAATATATTTATTTGCATGTATTTTTAAAAGATCACATATAACATGTTATTTTCAAAGAAACTGAAACAAAAAACAACTATATTACAATGAAGCAATACAAAAGCTAAATTAATTATGGTTTATAGATTCATTTTAAGATTATTATAATCTTAACTCAAGGATATGCAACCTGGCATCCTTCAGATATTTTGGATTTCAACTCTCATGAATCCCAACTACAATGAGATAGTAAGATTATGAGAATATTAGCCACATTAGGAGGACAACTTTATGACCAAGAAAAAGTAGTCTGAACTACATTCTCTGGTTATTTTTAATTGTGTTTCTGATTCTGTAACAACTGAGTGCCTCCAAAAAATACCTTTTCTTGAGGAGGAAGTGTTTGAGCATTTATCATTTTTTAAATCAGAAATGGGGAATCAATATACTTCCTAGATAATATTAACAATTTCCACCAGGAATGATGGGATCTGAAGTTGGCATACCTGAGCTTGAATATTCCTCATTCTTCTTCTACATTATGATAAACTTCTTGAATTAGGACTGATAATCAGATTGGCAAACAGAAATGTTGTGTCTTAGTTAAATGGAAAACACTGTATTATTACTGTTTTACTTACAATAAAGGGGTCAATCATTATTTCTCAGCCTAATTTCACACATTTATTCATTTGCGTATTATCAAATTTATAACTGGACATTTCTAGAAACTCAGTACAATACACTATAAAATCAGACAATTTTTAACACGAACTCCCAACAGCATCAAATGTAAAACATGTAAAAGCCAAATCAACATCAAACATCATAAATATTCTGGGAATAAGGGAATGTTTATTTATAGAAACAGCTTTTTATTTTATTTTTTAAAAAATTATCCAGTAGAAATGGACCTAACCATTTCTAGCAAGCCATCCATTTTTCAGTTGCTCTTGCTATAAGCCCATAGATGATAAACAGAGACCCCAGTTAATGAGATAAAGTTGTTTAGGTAAACAAGACAAATATGTAAAGAGTTTTATTTGACTCAGGGAAGCTAGTGCAACTGAGCCAGGATAAGTACTACATGCCTTCAATGGAGAATGCAAGGCAGAAACCTCACCACAGGATTCCTAAATCATTGCAGTTTCAAAGCCATCACCCATGTAAAGTGCTTTACAGCAAACTATTCATAAGGTAATGAATGAGTTCGTTTAGCCCTAATGGAGAAATATGAATGCAGTAGAAAAAAGGAATTCTTCACCACCAGTCACCTGAACAATCAGACTAGCAGGATGGGAGGGGGTGTTTGTCAACAAGTACCCCTAGTCCATCCATGAGCCTTTTTCAGTGAGTTTTAAATCTCATATGCATTGAGATTAAATAAATTGGTGAACCAAATAAGAACTGAGTTATTGTTACGTATTAATTATTCATATTACTTATTCAAAAGATCAAATGAAACTAAGTCATGTTTAATGTTATGTAAATCCTGCCATATTGTAAATATGTATATTTTTTCAGTTTTGCTTCTTATAATTTATTAGTCCATACTCAGAAAAAAGCAACATGTATCCAGAAATTTAATCAAGCATGGAAATAGGTTTTTCAAATTTTATATTAGGCAATTTTTCACCTAGTATCAAATTACTCTCTGAATTCCAGGTACTATAAAACAGGAAGATTTGCTTATTCTGCATTAGCAGCTTTTACAAAAATCATAACTGATTGTTACAGCTAGCCAGCTCATAAGCTCAATAGTTTATCCTCTTGTGCAGAAAAGTTTTTGCTTATACTACACCAGTGTTTTTCAACCTGGGCAACTTTAAGATCTCCGGATTTCAATTCCCAGAATTCCCAGTCAGCTGGCTAATTTTCAAGCTTGATTAAATTTCTGTTTAGCCTTGTTAAAACATAGTTGACAGGGGAATTCTGGGAGTAGAAGTCCAGACATCATAAAGTTGCCCAGGTTGAGAGCCATCACTAGACACCCACATTCTAAAAAACATAGCATACCCTAACAAGACTGAATTGTGTATTTTTCATACACATTTGTTAAAATCATTCTATTCTTGAACAACTTAAGAATATTCTACTTTCCACCACCTGAACATTCAAAATTAAAAACAAAATTCAGAACTCCATAGAATAGTTTGTTTAGCACTGTCTATTATGTAAACCATGTTTTGTAAACAGTCAAAATCTTTGTTAAACTTTTTCATATAGAAAGGAGCAAAGTATTAATACATAAATTGTTATATGCTAACTTTCCAAGAACTGTAACACAATTTAGCAATAGACATAATGCAAGACCCTCTGAAGTTATTTCATACAAATATTTTAACAAGTTAATCAGAGTATTATCCCTGATCTAATGTACAAGTACAGTATATTTGTGAAACTGTGAGTTTTCATAACTAAACCTGAGAACAGTATTTTGTGAACACATTATGAGTCATCTATTAAAACATGAAAACAGTTTTAGATTGTATCATATATCCAAATCTTGAAAGAAATGGTATCAAATTATAAAGATAAAGGTATATAGTAATAGGAAAAGTCTAATAAAGAGCTATCAATATTACTGTGTGACCTGCTATTATACATTAATCCAAACTTTACAGTCTTAACACAATTCCTAAGAGCTTTACAAAAGAAAGACAACTTTTCAGAGTGCAATGCTTTTATGGATTCTTTGAAGAAGAGATTGAATTGTTCAAAATGAATTTGAATAGGCTAAAAATATGATACAGACAAAAGCCTTTATAACAACTTACAAGTAAAAGTAATTACCAACTTTGAAAGGTAATTGGGTTTCTACCCATTATATAATTTTGAATTATTATAATGTGATACCTCAATATAATACAAAAATTGCATATAAGACCAGTAAAATGCACAAAAAGTAAATAAGAGTGTTCACTCTTAAGATAATTCAATGCTCATTGTAAATACTTTTTTCCCAGTTGAACAATTCATATAAGTCATAACTGCTGCTTAATAAACCCATTTTTGAAGAACAAAGATAGGAGTAAGCCTCCAGAGAGAGACCTTCAATGTTTTGCGATGTTGCCATCAGTTTTTTGAAACTCTTGAAGAAGGTCTAACGGTTAACAGATCTTTACAGAAGCTTTTCTGGATTTTCAACACAAGCATCAGTGAGTGATCCAAAGTAATCGCCTTGCTTTGTATCCTGGATGATTGAGAAAGGGAGACCAGATACAACCAAGCAAAAAACAACAACACTGGTTTCTTACCATGATAATAAATCTCATCTGCGGAGGATGGTCCCTCATTGGAAAAGGATCAGGCTGCTAATTGTCTTCTGTTTTCGGGATGGAGGAGCAGCCAAACTGGAAAGCCTTCGTCTCACCTCCCCAATCATCACAACGCATTAACACTCCTTCGCAAGGAACAGCAGATGCGTGCGCGTGTGAGAGAGACTTCAACCCTCATGTATTATGCACACATAATCCTTTCCACTGTACCCGCGCTGGAAAAAAAAAACCCGAAAGAAAAACCACGCATACACAACACGCTCCCATCCATGGCACGGCAACAGAGGAATTTTCAGAGCAACCTCACGCCTGTTCCGATCAGAAGCTGCGCTTTACCCTTCGCGGCGCGAACCCCCAAGCTTTCCAGCGGAGCCCACGCACAAGGAACATAAACACCTACAATCCGCCGCAGGGTTACGACTGCCTTTTCCACAAAAAGCAGCAACAAGCCTCACAACTAAGAGGTGGGCCCCGATCCTTCGCCTCTTCCGCCCAGACAAGAAGCCCTCCCCGCCTTTGCCACCTTCTCCATTGTACACCGTTCAAGGAGAGCACCCCTCCCCGCCGCCGCCTTTCCTCCCTCTCTCCTTCCCTCCCTCTGGAGCCCTCTCCATCCCCGCCGCCGCCACCGCCTCCCCCCCCCTTTTGGCCACGGCGCGCTCAACAAGGGACTCTACCTTGGAAGAGCCACTGCGGCCGACTCCGGCCTTGCCCTTCTCTCGCGCCGTGGCAGAGAGGTGCAGGTGCGTCTCAGACTCGGGGGCAACAGGAACCGGGAAAAGGAAGGAGGGAAGGTGGCGCTGCTGCTGCTGCGGTTACGGGGGAGGGTGGGAAAAAGAGGGAAGGGGAGGAGTCTGCGCTGCCCCTGGCCGGCGCGAGGAGGCAGCGAGGCGAGGGAAGGCTTTGGGGACAGAGTCCCGGGGACTGTGAGCGTCTGGGCCGTCGTCCTTCTGGTTTCCTCTCCTCCGTCCCTCTGGCCACCGGGGGGAAAAAAGAGCCCCGCGAAATCTGGACGGAGATTCCGATTCAGCAAAGAGCCGGCTTATACGGAACTCTTTCCGGGACTGGTTGCGGCGATTTGATGCAACGGAGCTTACTCGCTGGCTCTTCTCGCTCCGCCTCACGAACCCCAGGAGCGGTAGCTATCCGGGCCGCAGGCCTGAAGTGGAGAGGCGGAGCCTCTTGGAAGGGGTGGAGCCGCGCCCACGAGCGAGCCGACCATGAGGACTGTTTTTTTTTTAAACGGATTCAATCAGGAAAGTGGGCGGAGCTAAGAGTGGTGATGACTCACGCCGAGAGAAAGAGGAGGAGCCTCGGGAACGCGTGGGGACGGAGAGAGGTTGGTGGGAAAACGCTAGCTTTCGTAGAGGTTTGGCGAGCTCGCCTTCCTCTTTCTCTTGAAAGACAAATATTCTGGCCAATCAACAAGAAGAGGCAGGCTGAGCGAAAGGGGGAGGTTTCCTTCTTTTGCAAGCCATGTTTGTATACCTGCCGGGAAGAAAGAGGGACCTGTGGGTTGGTGGTTGCTTTTCTTTTTTTTTACCCGCGTAATGATTGGATTGGAAGCATGGGTGGCGGGTCTGTCCTGCCTTTATCCGAAAGGGGTAACCTGTCAAGGGATTACAGTTTTATAAGGCATTCCTGGTTTCATTGACTGCAGAAATCAGTTTCTCTGATTAAATGGAGTTTACTCCGAAGTGAGCGGACGGGAGATTGTATTTGATGGGGCACAATGGCTTTTTCAGTAACCTCTAGTCTTCCCGGTGGACAGTTGAATAGGGGATTTGCCAGGTGGCTCTCTTCTGGAAGGGATTGTCACTTTCCCCAGCGGTAAGTGCTAAGATGGTTTAGTCTATAGTAATTCTGGACATATTAATTTATTTTATTGTTTGTTTTTTATCCAGTATTTAAATCCCGGATATTCCATTAATCAAGACCAGAGTTTGATGTATTTGTTAGTCCGAGGCTTTAAAAACAGAATTAAAATATTTTTCTCTAATAGCAAGATAAGAAATTGAATGATTGATTGATGGATATAGGATTAGAATTGCACCTAAAGTGAAGCGGATGGATGCTTCAATCAAACATAAGATTGGAAAAATAGGGGTAGAGGAGGGGATCAGAGCTCAGACAGTATCTTATCTTGCTTATTTATCAGGCCTGTAGCACATTCTCTATCCCCAACAACACTGTAAATGAAAAAGACTGTCTTAACCAAAGCCTTTAAGAAACATTAGGCAATTGGTGAGCTAAAAACGCTTAAAAAAGAATCATTGAGCAATTGTTTTATGCTGTGTTCTAACTACTGTTGTGCTGCTGCCAGAACTTGCTTTCCAACTAGTGATCAAATAAAAGTCATGATTTCTTCATGACTTTTATTTCTTCATGTTTCTATTGTTATTGTAATTGACAAAAATATGGGAATCTTGGATAATTGGATTCAAATACTGCCTTAAGCCAGTGGGACTTTTTAATTTTTTGTCAGAAGATAATAATAACAACAACAACTTTATTGTCACTTTGAATGTACACCAATTGGCATACATCAAAATGAAATTTCATTGCATACAGCTCTCAAAGGGTCACCACCTCCGACATACTCCTTGTTGGTGGCCAGTTCAAGTTTCAGATCGTCCATTTTAGTCTTGTGAAAATTGTGAAAATTCAGCCAATTGTCATTTATTGAAAAAAAAGTGGGACTTAGCCTGCTGTATAAACTTGGTAGCTTTTACAGCTGCTCTTTTATTAGACCTTAATTATGCTTTTTCCTGTGTCATGTTCCATAGTGGTGCATTATATTTTATAGTTAGTAGTAAGCCCTCCGAGTCATTGAGTGAGTTGGGAGGCTATATAAAATTGTTTAATAATAGTTATTTTCTAGAAAACATGAGATGAAAAATGCATTTAAACAGAGAATTGTCTTCTGATAATTGATTACTGAACACACCATGGAACAAGACAGCACTTTCGCCCACACACAATTTCCATCTATCCCAGCTAAGAGTCTACATTGGGTCTGGATCTCTCCATAAGAAGATAGTAAGAATGGATTTATGGCTCTTTGTGAGACTGATCTCCAGGATTCTTGAAAAACCAGTTGGATGACTTTGAGCTAGTCACTCTGTCTCAGCCCAGTTCACTTCACAGGGTTGTTGTTATGGGAAAAATACTGGAGGAGGAGGAGTGATATATTCATTACCCTGAGTTGTATATGAAAAAGGATTTTTAAAAAACCTCTTGAATCAAAACAATTGCCTCAATTAACTTTGGGAACTTTCAGTTATTTCAAATAACTGATTGTGGTTTGACTCCCTGAATTCCCTAAAAAAAGTGTGGTCTTTAGCAATTCAGTTTATGATAATAGGTAAGATATATTTTTATATAGGTAATAGGTGGGAATAGACACCTAATTTCTGGCTTTATTTTAAGAAGTTCCTTTTTTTATTAAGTTGTGCCTCAAATTGGCTATTATGATGTACATGGTTGGACTACATGGTTTTTTTTATCACGTACATCAAGGATTATTGCTAACACTATAAAGTTTAGACATAATAGCTCATTTATGTTTAGAAACTGTTCTGCATCAGTGGAAGAAATCAGAGCAATTTTTCAACAGGTGAAATTGACCTGATCTAAATTGGATATAATCAGTGTCAGTTTCCTTTTTTCATATCAATACTCAAGCCTGCTGAAGACAATAACTTTCTGAAAAACATAAATACAGTAATAGTTATATTTTATTGCAATATCCTTGGTTACGACAGATGCATTCTCTTTCAACTGGCCTTATGAATTATCCACATAAAGCTCCTATCCTTTGACCTAGGCCCTAGGGAATTGGTTGCTTAATGTGCCAGAGATTCCCATTCCATTCTGGACCATCCCATTGATTGTTGGATTTGACCATTGTCTGAGAGGAAGCATGTTTCCCTTATTTGTTAACTGCTTGATAAAAGAATAGTGAACTCTGGAATACTGTATGTGTGGACTGGGTTCCTAGTATAACTATGGAACTTACTGATGCTTTCTGTGCACATAAAGGTTGACTCATCCTTCCATCCTTCCGGGGTAGGTAAAATGAGGACCCAGATTGTTGGGGGCAATGTAAATATATATATACATTGCTTACTGGTGTACACCGCTTAGAGAGTGCTTGCACTTAAAGCAGTATATAAGTCTCATAAATAAATAAATAAAATAAATAAATAAATTATGAAACCACTGTTCAATGGATTGGTGCATTCAACCAGAATTATTTTAGATCTCCTGATTATAGCACTGAGTGTTAGTATGTTATGTACTATTTCTTTGTTTTCTGTTTTGCAAATTAAAGCACATAGCAGTTAGAAAATTATATTAGCATTACCCTGGAACAACAGTTGCTAGTGTAATATGTAAGCATCTAACCATAGCTAATTAAGCATATTGCATAGATCAGACATGTCAAACACAAGGCCCGCGGGCCGGATGCAGCCCGGGGAGGGCCAAGATTTGGCCCCCCGGGGCTGTCCCAGAAATGGCAAGGGACCGGCCCCCACTGCCCCAGGCCTGGCCCACCGCAACCCAGCCAGGCGCTTTGGAGCACGCCCAGGAAACAGCAAGCGCTCAGGGGCTGGTGGTGTACAGCAGCAGCTCATTTGCTTTAGCATGGCCGGGCGTAACCCTGTCATACCTGGCCATGCCCCACTTTGCTGGGCTTCTGGTGTGGCTCTGCTTTGCCAGACCAGAAAGGGTGAGAAGGAAAAGAAAGCAGGAAGGGTTAGTGTGTGTGTGTGTGTGTGTGTGTGTGTGTGTGTGTGTGTGAGAGAGAGAGAGAGAGAGGAAGAGGAAGAGGAGGAGGAGGAGGAAGCTGAGGTGTTACAAAAAAGGAGAGCTTCCCCCATTCTTCCACCCCTTCTCTTTTTTTTAACTTCCTCCTACTCCCGTTCAGGTGCAGCTGAGGAAAAGGATGAGGAGGAGAAAACAGGAAGCTGTGTGTGTGTGTGTGTGTGAGAGAGAGAGAGAGAGAGAGAGGGGAAGAGGAAGAGGAGGAGGAAGCTGAGGTGTTACAAAAAAGGAGAGAACTTCCTCCTACTCCGTTCAGGCAGCGACGGAGGAGAAAACAGGAAGTGTGTGTGTGTGTGTGTGTGTGTGTGTGTGTGTGAGAGAGAGAGAGAGAGAGAGAGAGAGAGAGAGAGCGCCAGGAGGGGAAGAGGAGGAGGAAGCCGAGGTTTTACAAAAAAGGAGAGCTTCCACCTTTCTCTCCCCTCCTTCTCTTTTTTATTAACCTGTGTGTGTGTGTGTGTGTGTGAGAGAGAGAGAGAGAGAGAGAGAGAGAGAGATTGAGCCAGCAGGGAGTTGCAGAGTAAGTAAACTGACAAAAAGAGGATCTCTCTGTCTCTCATACACATACACGGAAAGGTGGTGTGCAGGCAGGTGAGAGAGCAAACTTGCAGATTAGCTTTGTGGTCTGTTCTTGCCTCCTCCCCTCCCTAAAATCCAGGCAATAATAAAACTCTTTAGATTGAATGGGAAGTTAGGAATTGGTGTGAGTTGAAATTAAAAGGCCGAGTCAACTCAATTATTTTGTCTCTTCATTTGCTCTTTTATAATTTAATCCAGCCTTACCCAAACTAATATATTTTGGGTGTCACGAACCACAGTTCCATCATCCTGTGGCTATGCTGGCTGGAAATGCAATGCCTTATTTTCTCTGCAGTATGTGCCTAGGAGGCAGTAGGTCTGTGGGATTTAGATGTATTTAAACATTTGTTTTTTCTGCCTAATTTATTAAATCAACATCTAATTTGAAATTAAAAGTTTCTGAGAAATCCAGGGTGGTTTACAAGAAAACTCTCAGCTATTGTAAAGCATCACTAGCACTGCTTAAAACAATATTAAAAGTGTGTATTTTAAGAAAGAAAAATAGTAGTAGTAATTTACTTAGTACTGTTTGACCATAAAATGTGTTGTTGTTTTGCATATGCCTGGCTGAACAGTGTGTTTGGAGTTGCCTCTGAACGGGTGAGGGTTGCACTGTTCATATTTTCCTTGGGAGAAAATTCTATAATGGGGGTGCTGTCTCTGAGAAGGCTCTGCTTTGTGGCCACTGTTCTATAAACCAAACCATGGGGACCATCTGGTCTAAATGGACGGTAAACATAGATGATTAGGGGGCTGGAGGCTAAAACATATGACAAATGTTTGTGGGAATTGGGTATGTCTAGCTTAGTGAAAAGGACTAGGGGTGGTGATATGATAGCAGAGTTCCAATATTTGATGGGCTATTTTCCAAAGCATCAGAAGGCAAATAATAGATGGAAACTAATCAAGAAGAAAACCAGCCTAGAACTAAGGGCTTGTGAAAACAACTAACCAGTGAAAAGGCTTGCCTTCAGAAGTTGTGGATGCTCCATCACTAGAGGCTTTTAAGTAGAGATTGGAAATTCCATTATCTGGAATGGTATATGTCCCCTGCTTGAGCAGGAGCTTGGACTAAAGACCTCAAAGGTCTCTTCCAACTCTTATTCTTTGAGAGAAGTGCTGCCAACCTCGCCCCCTCCCCTCATCCCTTCCTGGGCACAGAGAGAAGGAGGGAAGGAAGGAGGGGAGGGAAACAGGAAGAAAGGAAGGGAAGGAAGGAAGGAGATGGGAATGAAAAGGAGGGAGGCAGGGAAGAAGGGGAGGAAGAAAGGAAAGAAGGAAAGAACGAGAAGGAAGGAAGGAAGGGAAGAAAGAAAGGAGAGGAGGAAGGAAGGAAGGAAGGAAGGAAGGAAGGAAGGAAGGAAGGAAGGAAGGAAGGAGATTGGAATAAGAGGGAGGAAGGGAGGGTCTGAGGGAAATCCTGCTTT